CTGTGAGAGATGGGTGGCCCTCACCTTGCCACGCAGGTGGAGAAACTGAGGTTCAGAGAGGACCTGCAACTCTCCAGAGGTCTCCGAGCTGGCCAGCCCTGTGTCTTCCCTGCTGATCCCTGCTCCCCGAGCCCTCACCCCGTCCCCCCTCAGCCAGGGGACACTCCGGCAGACCACACCCTGTCTGCCCTCCCTCCTGGCCCAGGACGCTGAGCCCTGTGTGCAGGCCGCGCACATTAGCACATTGCAGCCTGGAGAGGTAGAAACTATTCATCTCACTTCATGAGCAAAGAAACAGGCTCCTGCCCTGTGTCCCAGGTTAGCTGATGGGGAGACTGTGTTGGGGCAGGAAGCTTCCAGAGGGGATTCAAGGTTGGCAGGTTAGGGTCTATCTGCCTGTTACACTGCCACCCTGGGTTCTGAACCTGACTGCCAGCTGGACATGTCCCTTCTCCAGTCATGAGCTCAGTCACCCCTCTGAGAAGGGCTGGGACTGGGCTGAACAAGGCCCCCTCTCTCCTTCCAGCTCTAAAGCACTAGGATTCTGAGTCCACAGAGGGGCCCTGAACCTCGTACGCCCGCAGAAGGGCACAGAAACCCACTGGCTTGACCACCGACTCAGGCGTGGGGGGTGGCGCTGAGGCCCAGAGACGGGGAGCCATTTGCCCAGAGCGACTCATTCTGTGGCTGAGACCCCACCTCAGCTCTGCCCCATCCCCTGGCAGGCCTCGCTGACCTGCTCCCTCCTATCTAAGGGTGTCCCCATGAGAAGGGGCATCATACAGTGTGTAGCCAGCTAGACTGGGGCCCACCCCAAGATCCCTCAACAGCGCACTGCTCCCCACCTTTGCCACATGTCCTGTGTCTGTGACGGAAGGAGAGTTGGGCTTGCCCCCTGCTCTGGCCAGAGGTCGCTCATTGCTGCCACACCTGTGTGCAGGGGCGGGCATCGTGGGGTGCGGGGAGGCAGGGGAGGGGAGGGGGTCTCTGCAGGCCACGTCAGCCAGGACCACCGGTCCACGCTGCGCCGTTGGTCGCCCCCTGCCAGGTTTAGCACCATCTCGGCCTTGGGCGGAAAAGGCCTCTGCTTCCAACAGCGGCTTCATGCCTCTTCTCCCCTTGCCCTGAGTTGGTCACAGGCTGCATTTCGGTGGCTGGCCAGGCCCAGAGCTCATCTGTCTGCCTGGTCCCCGGATGGGTGGGCGGGTGGGCAGCAGGTGCCGCGTCCGCCCACCCCGCAGCCATCGCTTCGCCGTGCCGCTCTGCCGGCCGTTGCGTCCGAGTCTCAGATGCTCCAGGACGTCGCTCCCTGCTTGGCTCTCTCCACATTTTTGCTTTTCCATCCTCTGCCCTCTCCTCCCGTCTGCACCTACCTCCCCTCCTTCCTTTCTTTCTCGCTCACCCCCGGGTGTGTGTGCGGTCGTGCCCCGCTCCTCCCACTAGTGCGTGTGTGCTAGGGGGTCACCCTCCCAGGAGCAGGGGAAGGGCGTGACCTCTGAGACCCCCAGCCGCAGGCCCAAGAGCACCGCAGCCCCCGCCCCCACACCTGGAGTGGGTATGCAGCTGGCTGGGGGCCAAGTGCTGCTGTCAACGCCTTGCGGTCCCCCTTCCCTGGCTGCGTCGGGGCCTCGACGGGCGGTGGGCACGCAGCCCAGGGACAGGGACAGGGACATGGTGGCTGACGCATATGGGACGGGGTGATGGGGAGCCTGTTCCCTCCTCCGCCTGAGTCACGGGGGAGAGTGAGGGGCGGAGGGAACTGGGTCTTGGCCCAGGCCATCCTGGAGACCAGGGGGAGCTGGAGAGAGGGCCATGGGCGTCGTCACCTTGTGGGCTCACGGGCATGGAGCTCAGAGTGGCTAGGGTGCGGTACGGTGGGCCTCTGCCAGACGCCGGGCTGTTTGAGAAGGGAAGAGATGGGCCAGGAGTAGTCCCCACCCTCAAGCCTGAGCCCCTTCTCCTACCTTGGTCTCTTCATGTCCCTCCAGCATGGCTTGGGCTGTCCCAAGTCTCTGGCCACCCCAGGTTTGCTGGACAGCCCTCGGGTCTGGCTGAGGGGGTGCTGGTTTGAGCAATTCGAATCTGAGGATAGGGGATGGGGGTAGGGCGGCTTTGTGGGGCTAACGTTGCACACGTGCACACGTGCACACGTATGTAACATAATATGTGTGCTTAGCATGTTGACATATAGGCAGGTGTTTGCTGGTGTTCCTCCGAGAAGCCCCTCAGGCATCCGTTCCCACCCCTCCACATGCAAGCATGCCCACATTCGCTCTCGAGTACCCCCGTAAGTGGCCACAAGTGCACACGTCCTGTGCACATGAGCATACGTGTGCACGCGCTTGCCCGCACATCCGTCTGCTTGTGCATTTCAGCACACCCCCGACAGGGGCTCTGAGCCAGCGCACACCTGCGCGTGCACCTGCATACAAATGCGGTCCCCAGACGTTTCCAGCCAGAGGAGGTGCAGACAGAGGGTTCTGTGACAGGGCGAGCTTGGGGACTCAGCTTCCTCTCCTACAACATCCTTGCCTGTGTGTAGGGGGAGAGTGGTGGGAACTGGAGCCTCAGAAGGGGTGGAACCAGCCTGGGGTCCCCTAGGAGCCAGTGGCCATGCTGGGTGGGAGCCCGGGTCTCCGACTCCTGCCCTGAGAATTTTTGTGGCACAGCCAAGGACAGAAATGCTGTCCCTTCATGCTGACTGCCTTGTCTGGCCCCTCAGCCCAAGCCGTTCCTGAAGGGGACTGGGAGGTATGAGGTCACCTCTCCTGGAGGTCCCAATTATTATAGCCTCTGACTCAGAGTCAGCTTTTAATCCGAGGGGTCATCTGGCTGCCCTGGTCACCTGCCAGCTCCTCAACGAAAACGGCCAGCCTTGACTTCTTCGAGCATTTCCCCCTTCACGCTTCCCTTTCCTCTGTCCCTGCAGCCCTCTGGGGCTCAGGGCTGTAAATTGGTTTTGCTTTAAAGGCAAAGGTTTAACATTTTTTCTCAAAGTGCTCTCCTTCCTGGAGTTTCCCAGGAGCAGCAGCAGGAAGCAGAGGTGGCTCTTGTGAACAATCTTTGGCTTTCTTTATCCAAACATGGATTTCTCTTGCCTAATCTTCACATCCCTGGCCACTGGCCAGGGCAGACGGAGAGAGCACCCGGCTCTTCCCGCAGTCGAGAGAGCATTGGGTGGGAGCCGGAGCCCCGTCTGGCTGAGGGGCTACGTCTGCCTTGCCAGGCCACCCCAACGAGTCTCCCCTGGACTGGGGCTCAGTTTCCCCACTTGGAAAATGAGGGTCCGTAGGCTCTGAGCCTGGCGCTGCCTCCCCTGCCCCTCTGTGTCTTGGATGCTGGCGGCCCCGCTCACCTTCCTTCTTCCCCCACCAAATGGCCAGGCAGGACCTGGTGCCCGCTTTATCAGCGAGGAAGGAGATTCACTCGGTCCCCCTGACCCGCCTAAGCAGGCCCGGTGGACAGGGCTCCAGGTATCCTCGGGGGGGCCTCGGTCTTGGGACTCTCAAGTCCCGGCCCCTGTCTGGGCTTCTGACTCTCCAGCCACGGAGGGGATGCGGGGCTTTCATCACATTATTCCGGAAGCCCCTGGCTTTTTTGCCCGCCCGAGCCCTCGCCCTCGCCCTCCCCCGATCCAGGCCCTCTGCTGGAAAGCACTTCGAGGAGGTGGCACTGGGGCGTGTGGCTCCCCTCTTGCCATCTCTCTTCCTCTTGCTTCTCTGCTCCTGCCTGTAGGATGGACTCCTCCCTGCATCCACCCCCCGCCCCACCGCCGTTGTGGGAGACCCCAGCCTCTGCATCCCCCTGCTGGGGTGGGGGCATAGCCACGCTTTCCTGCTCCCCTCCCCCATGGAAGCCGAGACA